CCCAGGTCCTGCTGCTGTCAAGTTGAGGACCCTGAGGGAGATTGGGGGCCCTGGACCCCAGAATCCTCAGTCCTGGGAAGACCAGTGGGCGGGGTACTACAGGGCGGGGTGGGGTGACTCCTGCATCAGGTGTGAGAGACTCTGGGGTTTGGTGTAAGGAGCAGAGCCACAAGTCCGCTGAGGGAGAACAGACGGGACCCAGGACCCCACAATATAGGGGACCCCATAAAGGGCCTCCCCTGCTACAAGCCATGGGAGACCCCATGTCAGATGACCCTGTGAGGTGTGTCCTGACTTCTGCATGCAGGTCTGAGATAGGCTGGGGCTCACTGTAAGGAGCACAGCCACAGGATGAAGGAGGGCACCCTGAACCCCACAACCAGGGGACCCCATAAACCCTACCCTGCTATCAGCCTTGGGATGTTCCCTGGTGAAAGACCAAGTGCCGAGTTTCCTGACTTCTGTATCCAGGACTGAGTGAGACTCAGGACTTGGTCAAAAGTGTAGGAATCACACTTCTAGGAATATTTCCCTAAGAAACCGGAAATACCAATGAGAAAGAATGTATGCACCCCTATGTTCATAGCAGCACAATTTATGATAGCTAAGATGTGGAAACAGCCCAGGTGCCCATCAATGACCTGATGAAAAAGCAGTGGTACATGTATGCCATGGAATACTATGCAGCTGTATAAAGGGAAGGGTCTCTTACCCTTTGAGACAGCATGGAGGGACCTGGAGAGTATTGTGCTAAGTGAAATAAGCCAGTCAGAGGAAGATAAATATCACATGATCACACTCATATGTGGAATTGAGGATACAAAGTAAACTGATGAATCACATAGATACAGACACATGCAAGCATAGGACAGATTGGGGAATCTCAGACGGAAGGTGGGGAGGGTGGGAAGTAATCAACCATGAACCTTGTATGCGTATATGCATGGCCCATGGACACAATGATTGGGTGGTGAGGGCAAGGGAAGGGGACACGGGTGGGGTGGAGGGGATCATATGTAATCTATAATAATAAAAGCATTATATGCTAATAAGACTGGACACCCTTCTGGACGTCCTTCCGTAGGCAGCCAGGGCTGTGAGGGAAGCCCAGGTGTCAGGTGCCAGAGGGAAGCTGGTGCTGGCAGCCAGAGGAAGGAAGGCCTACTCTTGCATAAATTTTGTGCATCGAGCCTCTAGTTCTTTCAATAATAAAGAATTATTATAAAATTTAAAAAATAAAAATAAAGCCATATAGTGAATCAAGTCCACGGGGGACGGGTGCGGGGGGACAGAAGTACTGCCCGACTCAAGTGGCATTTAATGCCTTCAAATCAGGGTCTGTGACACTGTGGAGTTTAGTACTACAAACCGGCCCCAGGGAGGCAGAGGAAGAACCCAGGACCTGCCAAGGTCATGATGGGGACCCTGTGTGAGGACTGAGGGGACCCAGGACTCCCAGTGTAGAGGCTGCACAAGACCGCGACTTGCTCTCGACCTTGGAGGGCCACAGGGCTGGTGACCACATGGGGTGTCTCCTGACTTCAGGATTCAGGTCTGAGGGAGACTGGAAACTTGATAAGAACTGTAGGGCCTCCCTCAGGTCCAACGAAGGGATGCAGAAGCACTGCCCAGAGTCAAGGTGCTTTTCCTGACTTTTGCATCCGGGTCTGACAGGCTCTGGGGTTCAGTGTAAGGAGCAGGGTCTCAGATGGGCAGAGGGAAGAGTCAAGGTGAGGACCCCCAGGGAGGACTGAGGGTATCCAGGAACCCTAACTGGAGGGGAGTCCACAGAAGTCTGCCCTGCTCAAAGTGTTGGGAGGCCCTATAGTGGATGACCATGCAGAGAGGAACCGCACAAGCCCAGACCTGATGTCAGCCCTTGGAATTCAGGGGAATGACATATGTGGCAGAGGGTAGGACCAGTTCTTGCCCGGAGTCAAGGTGACCATGCAAAGGGAAGACTGAGGGATCCGGGACCCCACAACAGAGATGCCCCACATTACCCCTACTGTGAACCCTGGGAGGCCCCCGGTCCATGACCACATGCTCTCTTCCTTACTTGGGCCTCTCAGGTTGACAGAAAGGAGGTTCCAGCTCCAGCCAGGAGTCACGGTGAGGATCCTGCAGGAAGACAAGCGGACTCCACCCCCTGACCTCTGAGGGGTCAGGCTCCAGGTAGGCAAAGAAGGGCTGCAGGGCTCTGCCAGGATACCAGGTAAGGACCCGAGTTAGGACTCAGGAAGCTTCCTACCACACCTTGAAGTGTCCCCGAGGTTTTGCCAGTGACATAAGTGTCCCCAGTGTGCCCTGTTCCTGTCATCAGCACCTAGAAACCTCATGGTAGGGCTCTCGATTTGGGTTGCGTCTAGACTTTTTCCTGAGAAGTTGAGGGGATTGTCCTGAAGGAGCTGTGTTCAGGGCGACAAGGTGAGGTGTCCCAGGTACTGTTGGTAATCAAAGTGTGGGTCTTGAGGCAGGATAAGGCTTCCGCCCACCCCAACAAACACAGGGACCAACTGGATTGGGCCCTGCTTGTGCAACTGGGTCACTGGGGCATGATATGCAATGTGGTGTGTCTTTTTTTTAAAAAAAAAAAAAAAAATTTTATTTTAGAGAGGAAGGGAGAGGGAGAGAGGGATAGAAACATCAATGATGAGAGAATCATTGTATCAGCTGCCTTTTGTACACTCCCTACTGGGGATCAAGCCCACAACCCAGGCATGTGCACTTGAATGGAATCAAACCCAGAACCCTTTAGTCAGCAGGCTGATGGTCTATCCACTGAGAAAAACCAGCTAGGGAAGTGGTCGGCAAACTCATTAGTCAAAAGAGCCAAATATCAACAGTACAACGATTGAAATTTCTTTTGAGAGCCAAATTTTTTAAACTTAAACTATGTAGATAGGTACATTGTTATTAACTTAATTAGGGACTCCTAAGGCTTAGGAAGAGCCACACTCAAGGGCCCAAAGAGCCGCATGTGGCTTGCGAGCCGCAGTTTGCCGACCACTGAGCTAGGGCAATGTGGCGTGTCTTGAAGTCCACCTTGGAGGTCTCTGAGAGATGGTGGACATGGCCTGCAGTACTCATTCTCAGTTCAGCAGAAGGGAAAGGTCCCAGGCACTCTCTGAGTAAACCTGGGTAGCTCGGGGAGGAAGGAGGATACCACACTCCAGACAATGGGTGCCCTGAACCCAGTCTGTGCTGCTGTCAGCCCTGGGAAAGGCCTGGCATGGGTCTGCAGAGGTGGTTCTTCCTCATGTTTGACTGAGGGCACTCGGGAAGGACAGGGCCTTGGTCAGAGGGAATGGCTTCAGTTCATGCAAAGAGGAGCTGAGGTTGTGGAAGGGTCATAAAGGTGTGAATGCTTTCTTGTGGGAAACTGCAGCTATGTGCTCCTTGAGAAAAGAAGAGAGCCCTCAGCATCAGGGAGTGTCCTGTCCTCAGCATCCAGATTCCCCAGGCAGGGGCACCTGGGTGTGACATGCTCTCCCTTTCCACATGCCTGCTCCTCCTGAGCTTTTCTCACTGAGGACAGTTGTTCAGGGTGAAATCGGTTCAGCTGGATTCAGATCCAGGCCAGGCCAGGAAGAAAGGCAAGTATCCTCAGGCCAGACTAAGGGAACTCTGCACCAGGACCAGATGGGCCAGGCCCTGGTGTCAGTTGTGTGGGAATCTGGGTAGGGGTGGAGGCAGATGGAGCTCCTGTTCACTTTTGTCTCAGAGCTATCAGCAAGGTGAGGACCTTGGTGTGAGACCACACGTCCTATCATCCACCGGAACCACATTTTGTCAACAGAGAAACGAGTCCCAGATCCTGCCAGGAATCAAGGTGAGCACTGAGGGGAAGCAGAGCACATGGGAACCCAGACCTACCCTGCCTCCTCTGTCAGCAATGGGGAAACTCAGAATAGTACCTGGATTACCTCAGCTCACTTCCTACTCCTGTACCTCAGGGAGGTGAAGCCTAAGTCTAAGTAGATTGGGCTCAGTCAGCATAGAGAGTGGTCTGAAACCCTGCAGTGCATCATGGTGAGAAATGATCAGAGCCTTAACCCAGGATAGATGGAACCAAATCTTCCGTCACCCCTTCTTGATCCTCTCGGAGAGGGACCACATGTGGGGCCCCCTTATTTTCTTCATTGAAGTGTCAGGTGTGTGTGGTCTTGTTCTGAGAGTTTGACCTCAGGCCAGCAGAAGGCAGTGAGGGGCCAGGCCCTGGCAGGGGAAAGGTGAGGATCCTACATGTGCAAGGAGGAACCTTCCACCCACAACAGAGGGGACCTCACAGAGTCCCATTGCCCCTCCTCTCAGCTCTACAGTTCCAGGGCTGTGCTTGTCATGTGCATGCTGAAGTGCCCGTTCGTACCCTCTACCAGGGCCTCTGGGTTTCAGGATGTGAAGGCCTTGGTGTACACTACATATTCTCAGGTCTCAGAGTAGCAGAAGGCCAGTCAGTGCCAGGAGTTAAAGTGAGGTACTCACCATTATATCCCAGGGGCTCCCCAACCCACGTCAGATATCACCACACCCCACCATCAACTACATAATCTTGGGCTGTACCTTCTGTACCCTGAGCAGTCATGTCACTTCTGACTTCAGGTTCTTACTGGACAGGCTAATCAGGAGTGATCTCTGTGAGGCCTGTGAGCACACCTAAAGGGGAGACCCATAAGTCACTTTTGTCAGAACTGCCTAGGGTGCTTTTCTCTGCTGAGGCCCCTCACACTCTCCCTCTCCCCCAGCCACATGGGTCCTCATTGTCCACCTTCTATCCACACCCGGTCACTTTCCCAGCATGAGTCATCATGCCTGGGCATCATATGAGTGAGCCCTGCAAGCCTGAGGAAGACCATCAGGACTGAAGGGAGAATCAGAACCTGGTGGAGGTGCAGCTGTTCTGGGCTATGCAGGAGGAGGAGGGGGTGGGGGAGGGGGAAGGGGGAGGAGGAGTCGGCCCTCTCTCTCTCCTCCTCTCTATCTTCCTCCCACTCAGTCCTGCTTTTAGACAGCCTAGAGGAGGTGTCTGCTGCTGAGACATCAGTCCTCCCCAGAGTCCTCAGGGTGCCTTCCCCTCCCCCATGCCATGGCAGCCTTTTCAGGGAGCGAATCTGAAGATGGGAGGTCCAGCAGCCAAGATGAGGAGGGTCCAAACACTGAGGGGGGGCCCTGAAGATGATGCCAATTCCTTGCTCCACAAAGCACTGCATTCGAAGTCAATGGAAATGGTGGATTTCCTGCTTCTGAAGTATCGTGCAAAGGAGCCAACCACAAAGGCAGAAATGCTGAGTAGTGTCATCAAAGAGCACCAGGATCACTTCCCTGAGATCTTCAGCAACGCCGCTGAGTTCATGCAGCTGGTCTTTGGCATTGATGTGAAGGAAGTGGACCGTAGTACCCACACCTATGTCCTGGTCACTACCTTGGGGCTCACCTATGATGGGATGGTGAGCGATGGGCACAGGTTTCCCAACACTGGTCTCCTGGTCACAGTTCTGAGAGTGATTGCTGTGGAGGATGATTGTGCCCCTGAGGAGAAAGTCTGGGAAGCACTGAATATTTTAGGGGTGCATGATGGGAAGGAGCATTGGCTCTATGGGGAGCCCAGGGAGCTCCTCACCAAAGTTTGGGTGCAGAAACAGTACCTGGTGTATCACCAGGTGCCCAATAGTGATCCTGCACGCTATGAGTTCCTGTGGGGTCGCAGGGCCCACGCTGAGACCACCACATCGAAAGCCCTCAAGTTTGTTGTCAGTGTTAATGACAGGGATCCCTGTTCCCTCCCATCCCTGCCTGAAGGGCCTGAGTGCAATGAGGACCACTATGCCTGAGCCAGAGTTGCATCCAGGCAAGTTTCAGGCCCATATGCATCAGCTTTTTTTTTTCTTCCTTTTTTCTGGGCATAAAATGAGGCCCATTTTCCACTCTGTGTTTGAGGAAAGAGCAGACAGTATTCTACGTAGTGAGGCCCAGGGCGAGTTGGGGGAACAAGGGCTGTAGCATCTTTGAGTTCCTATAATTATTGAGAAATGTATCCTTGAATCCTTTGGGAATTATTTAAGGGAACTTTCCAATGTTGTTTCTTTTCATAGAATGTTTCATAGGCTTTAGCATCTAAGTTTGTGAATGACATCGGGCACATATGTATTTGTACTTGTCTTATTCAAGAGTAAGAGGTTTGTTACTGTGTTACACAAATTGGGATATTTCCCATCCTAGTTTTAGATCCCAAACTACATAACATGTCTTTAGAGCAGGATTTTCTTGGAAACGTGAAAGAACACAGCAGTACAATTGATGGAGTCAAGAAATAGAAAAATAAAAGCAAAAGGTTGTTAATTCTTGCTTCTTATCCCTTCTCCTCTGTCTTTCTCTGAAGTAAACTATATAAGGATCCTTGTATTTGCTTGCTTCAGCCAAGGAAGTGGATGGATTTCATCTGAATAAAGACAACCTCTCCTCCATGGTTCATTTAATCCCCAGACATTCACAGAGCCTATGTCTTCTGGAAGGCCCTGTATTAGTAGTGGGGACACCAACATAAGCAGGGCACACCCACCCACAGGATGATAGTGTAGTAGCCCAAGTCACATAAGGAAGGTGGTAAGGTGTCCCCTAAATCCTACAGAACAAGTAACAAAACCCCTTCTGTTAGCCTCCAGGAGACAGCAGTCAAATGTGCTGGCCTAAGCCAGGGTATTTGGAGCTTTAGGAATCTGTGATTCCCTCTAGGGGGGTTGATTGTAAGGAAGCTGTGGGTGGCAGTGGCACATTGTGTGTCTTGTGTGTGAGAGAAAAGTCTGAAATGGAAAATTGTCCTAACAAGTTCCTTTTGAATCATGAATAAACCAGAGGGAAATCTCCGCCTGGTTAGAAGGGTGGTTTCCTGCACGCAGTGTCAGTGTCATTGGACAGTAAGAGCACTAGGTGTGTTATACCCATCATCTGCACAGATTTCTACAGAAATACGGATACGAGACCATGAGTAACATGATGGCTTGGGAGAGCCACAACCTACAGCATAATTAGGTTTGAATGATAATAATCTTGAGTGTGATCTGGCCAATCATTATCAAGTGATAGATTTGGGGTGGGGTTGAAATGAATGAAAACATTTGTTTGGATAAAAGAGCAGCTTGGACGGATGGAAAGAGTTGTTCCTAGACTCTCTTTCTAGAAGCTTTGTGTTGTGTCCAGCTGGGAAGGCTCCCCACACATGAATTTGAGCATACATCCATGAATTGGGAAAATTTGCTAAGTTATATTTGTGGAACATCCTGTTTGGCCGATTGTGTGTTCTATGCCCTACTGAGCTGCATATTCTCTAATATGACCTTGATAACAAGTAATCCCAGTGCCAACAGAGAGAGTGGAAGTATCTGGGATAAAAATGATATCTATAATAATAAAAGCATAATATGCAAATCGACCGAACATCTGAACAGCAGAACAACCATCCTGATGACCTTCCAGATGATCATACTATGACATGCACTGGCACCAGGCCAGCCAAAGTGGGTGTGATGCAATTGGTTGGGGGGGGGGGGTCCCTGCCATCGTCCCACGATCATCCTGCAGAAGGAGGCCTAGGCCAGCCAAGCGATTGCACCCCATGCCTGTCGCCAGCAGAGGGAGGTGATGGTGGTGGTGGTGGTGGGGCAGCGCCGCACAGATGGCAAGCATGGGCAAGGCTGGGGCTGGGCCAGCTGCCAGCAGCCTGGGGAAGGAAGCCCGATAGGCCCTCATCACCGGCCAGGCCTAGAGACCCTACTGGAGGGGTCCCGGATTGAGAGAGGGCACAGACTGGGCTGAGGGAACCCCCCCCTCTGCCATGCACGAATTTTGTGCAGCCGGACTCTAGTTTGAAATAATTGCCATTCATCACATTCCAATTGACACCAGGCACTATATGAGATGCTTTGCAAACAATCCACACATTCCTGCAGTCTTGAAAGACAGGAATTAATAAAATCACGTCACACTTGAAGAACCTGATGCTCATAGGGCCTGATATTTTCCCAGGATCACATGACTAGTAAGTGGCAGGATAGAGACTCCATCCCTTGCCAAATTCATCTAGAGTCCATAGTATTTCCAACCCCCTCCCCCCAGTCCATGGCCCACCTTCTACCCCATAATTCATTTCTCAGTACAATGAATGAACTCTTTCAGATGACAAGTAGTAGGACTCTGAGGCCCAGGCAGTAAGAGCAGGCCTAAGGAAGGAAGGTGACATTGAGAATCAAGCATAATTTGGGAGCTGTCTGAGGTTTGTTGAGATCTGACTCTTCCTGGTGCCAGCATTTCTGTGTAGTCCCAGCATTTTCCCCCATGACGACAGCCTTCCCTTGGGTGCTCTCCTGTCCATCCCTGGATTATGGTCTGCTGACCTGCTCATTGCTGCCTCCTCTGAAGGCTCACAGAATCTCCTGTCCTCATCCTGACATAGAAGCTACTTACTCCCTGCTGAAGTCCCTTGCTCATCCTCCACCGTTTCTGAGAGTAACAGCCCTTTATTTAATTTCTATGAAGATATACCTGTTAATAGCAATTCACTTTTTAAATTTCTTAGTTTTATTGTTGACACTAATACAGAGATCCTTTATTTCCCTTCCTTTGCTCCTTTCCACCCAGCATCCATGCACCCCCCTTCCATCTGGCCATCACCATATTGTTCTCCTTGTCCATGGATTTTGTTGGCTAATCCCTTCACTTCCTCCCTCACCTATGACAGCTCTCAGATTGTTCCATGTCTTCATGCCTATGTTTCTATTTTGTTCATCACTTTATGTTGTTCCTTAGTTTCCACATATAAGTGAAATCATATTGTATTTGCCTTTCGCTGCCTCATTTCACTGAGCATAATAGACTCCAGATCCATCTATGCTGTCTGAAAAGGTAAGATTTCCTTCTTTTTGACCACTACCTTGTATTCTGTTGTGTAAATTTACCACTATTTTTTTTATCCACTTTTCTACTGATGGGCACTTTGGCTTTTCCCAGAACTTAGCTATTATAAACAATGCTGCTATGCCTAAGCAGGTGAATGGATTAGAAAACTGTGGAACATCTACACAATGAAATTCTATACTGCTGTTAAAAAAAAAAAAGGAATTCTTACCATTTGTAACAGCATGGATGTACCTGGAGAGTATTATGCTAAGTGAAATAAGCCAGTCAGTGAAAGAAAAATACCATATGATCTCACTCATTTATGGATAATAAAGACCATTATAAACTGATGAACAAAAATAGATATGGAGGCAGAACAGCATCAAACAGACTGTCAAACTACATTGGGAAGACTGGGGAGGGATGAGGGGGGGTGGTGGTGGTGGTGGTAAGAGATCAACCGAAGGACTTGTATGCATGCCTATAAGCATAACCAATGGACACAAGACACTGGCGGGTAGAGGAGGCTGGGGGAAGGTCAAGGGGGGAAAAAGGAGACATATGTAATACTCTTTGTAATACTTTAGGCAATAAAACAAAATTAAAAAAATAGCGCTGCTATGAACACAGGAGTGCATAAAATCTTTCTGATTGGTGGTTCAGGCTTCTTAGGATATATTTCTAGAAGTGGGGTCACTGGGTCAAATGGCTGTTCCATTTTTAATTTTTTGAGGAATGTCCACACTGTTTTCCATAGTAGTTGTACCAGTCTGTATTCCTACCAACATTGTGTAAGGGTTCCTTTTTCTCCACATCCTCACGAGCACTTGTTGTTTAATTTATTCACGGTGGTCATTCTGACTGGATGTGAGGTGTTACCTCATTGTTGTTTTAATTTGCATCTCTCCAATGATTAGTGACATTGAGCATTTTTTTCATATATCTTTGGCCATTCGTATGTCCTCTTTGGAGAAGTGTCCTTTGCTGTGTAGAATATTTTACTTTGATGGAGCCCCATTTGTTTATTTGTTTAATCTTTCTTTTATGTCTCTTGCCCTTGGTTATGTATTTGGGAAAATTCTGCTACATGACATGTCTGATATTTTGCTACCTGCTTTTTCTTCTAGAATTTTTATGGTTTCACAACTTACATTTATATCTTTTATCCATTTTAAGTTTATTGTTGTGTATGGTTAAGTTGGTGGCCTACTTCCAGTCTTTTTTTTTTTTTTTTTGCCTGTACCTGCCCAATTTTCCCAACACCATTTATTGAAGAGATTGTCTTTAGTTCATTGTATGCCCTTGCCCCAATGTCAAATACTCATTGAGCATAATCGTTTGGGTTGATTTCTGGGTTTTCTGTTCTGTTCCATTGATCTATATACCTGTTTTTGTGCCATTATCAGGCTGTTTTGATTCAGTGGCTTTGTAGTATAACTTGCTATCTGTTATTGTGATCCCTTCAACTTGGTTCTTTTATCTCAAGATTGTTGTAGCTATTCAGGCTCTTTTTTGCTTCCATATAAAGTTTTGGTTATAATGTATTCCTTTAGCCATTTTTTTTTGGCTAGGAAACTATTTCCCCCTTTAATTTTAAATCATAGCCTTGCTAAATAGAGTAGAGTTGGGCTCAGGTCCTTGTTTTTCATTACTTTGAATTCTTCATGCCAATCCCTTCCACCCTAAAGTGTTTCTATTGGGAAATCAGCTGACATTCTAATGGGTATTCCCTTGTAGGTAACTTTCTGTCTCTCTCTTGCTGCCTTTAAGATTCCTTCTTTGTCTTTAATGTTTATAATTTTGATTGTGATGTGTCTTGGAATGGGTCTCTTTGGGTTTAACTTGATTGGAACACTCTGTGCTTCCTGAACTTGTGTGACTTTTTTCTTTGGAAGGTTAGGGGAGTTTTCTATCATTATTTCTTTAAACAGGTTCCTTACTCCTTGCTCAGTTTCTTCTCCTTCTAGTACTCCCATGATGTGGAAGTCATTATGTTTCATGTCCCAAATTTCCCTTAAACTGTCCTGCTTTTAAATTGTTTTTTCTTGCCCTAAGCGGTTTGGCTCAGTGGATAGAGCATCTGCCTGCGGACTCAAGGGTCCCAGGTTCGATTCTGGTCAAGGGCATGTACCTTGTTTGCGGGCACATCCCCAGTAGGGTGTGTGCAGGAGGCAGCTGATCGATGTTTCTCTCTCATCGATGTTTCTATAAAAAAATCAATAAAATATATTAAATTGTTTTTTCTTTATGCTGCTTTAATTGGATGTTTTTTCTACCTTGTCTTCCAAGTCACTGATTCAATCTTCTACCTCATTTAATCTAATTTTGATTACTTCCAGTGTATTCATTTTTTGAAATATATTCTTATTAATTTCAGAGAGGAATGGAGGATAAAAAAAAGGGAAGAAAAGGGAATATGGAAGGGAAGAGATGAAAGTAAGAATATAAGAAGAA